GCGTCAGCCCCTCCTCTCTCTCTCTCTCTCTCGGAATCTTTCGACGTCAACCCTCGAAGAAAGCGCGCTTTTATCTCCTCCTCTTCCCTCCAATCCCCTTCCGCGATTCCCAGCAAAAGAACCAAAGACAGAGCGACGAAAGAGAGATGGGTAGTGGCGGCGGGAGCGGCGTCAAGGACATCGGATCGAAGGCGGATCTCGACGACGCGCTCCGGGGTGAGGCGCCGGTGATAGTCCACTTCTGGGCGTCCTGGTGCGCCGCCTCCAAGCAGATGGACCAAGTCTTCGCCCACCTCGCCGCAGACTTCCCTCACGCGCTCTTCTTCAGGGTTCCTGCTTCCTCTACCCTCTCTTTTGTTTGTGTCTTTCGTTCATTTTGCTACGAGGTTCTTGTTTGTCGTGGTGATGTCGAAAGGGCAGGGCCTATTAGGGTTCTAATAATCTTTTGTTGGGGTTCCGTGATGTGTAGTTCACTAAGTGGCGATCCGTCGGCTAATTCGTGTGAAGGGAGACTTAATTCTTGGCGTCGACAGGGCATCTTTGTAGTAATGTGAAGCTTGGCTTTTCGGAATCATTGCTTAGGGTTGAAATTGGTTTTACTCCCTGTTAGATTACTGTAGGTTACTTGAACTTTCTGAGTTAACTACTTAGAGTTCAGAAGATCTGCAGGTTTGCTACTTACATGGTAATTCGATTAGCCTTCCAATCTAGATGTTTAGGTGGCTATTTATTTTGTCTCACAATTTACAACAGAAAATATGCAAAGGTACATGTTACATGGCATGTCTTTTACCATAATACTACCTGATGAAAATACTTTTGGCTAGATAGACCAGATGAACACTCTCCCATACTGCTAAAAGAAAAAAGTGAACCACCTGAGGAGATTTTTTCTTTTAATTCTTATAGTTCATTGTAAAAAAAGTCTTCCATGTTATTTTAATATTTTGATTACAAAGTAATGTTATCAATTGCCATTTCTGACAATATTCTCGTGGGATCTGTCCTATGTGCTACCACCTAGGAATCTTGTTAATCTGGAATACCTTAAGGCACTCTAGTTCAGTATATGTATCCATTTTCTCTAGTTGTTTCACTTCTTCAGGTGTGCAGCCACCTAAAATAGTCACCATATATATGGCCGATCCAGGTCACTGAGGCATTTTTATTTTGATTAAACATTAGTAGTGGATATTAGAATTCAAAACGAAATGAATTCTTTTGTGCCTAAGCCAATAGCATTGCTTTCTAAGCGGAAACAGTTTTTCGCTGAAAAGTTGATTTATTGCTGAGGCACCCGCAGGGCAGAAGTGATCATGTCGGCACTATGTTAGCTTTGACAATCAAGCCAGATGATCCATCCTAGCAGTGTATATGCTGACAGTTGAAACATCCAGATATCTACTACCTAATTATAGAAAGTGAAAAAGTTGATTTTTCTTGTTGTTGTTTCATATTTAACCAGTGTCTAGCATTACTTATCCCTATTTTGACTGAATTATCAAGGAAAGAAAATTACTTTTCTACAACATGCATAACAGATAGGATGCGATTTGTCCTAATCAAGAAGAACCATTAGATTTTTTTGTGATTCTGAATAAGAAGAATGTAGTTCATTGTCATTCTTCTCTTTGAGGATCTCCTTGTTATTTCTGCAGTCTATGTTGATGTAGAAATCTAGATCTTAATCGATGCCTCAATTTGGGTTGTCAGTTTGATAAATACAAGTCAGTGATCTTTAATCAGGTTGAAGCTGAAGAACAGCCAGAAATTTCCGAGGCTTATGCAGTCTCAGCAGTGCCATATTTTGTCTTCTGCAAGGTTAGTGTTTCACAGGCTGTTTCGTAACGTTGCTTTATTTTTGTTGTTCAGTGTGTACATGAATGAACCAAAAAAACGTGACTTTTAAGAAATTAAGGATGTTCTAACTTGAAATACATGTGATGCTTCCTTGCTGGTCATATTTTACTCCACAAACTTCTACAATATTTTGCCTGTAGTTCTTGGAAAAGTTGCATATGAATGGTGAAATAACAAGGAAAATGCTTCTTCAACAGAGTGGTTTACTAAATTACTGATTTTGATAATTGATCAAAAACTTGGTGTCTTTTGGGTTGTAAAATCTTTCAAGCTGTTTGCCGATGCATGTTCTAGGTACAACAGCTGTAGCATCCGAACTATTTGGGGTCGGCTAAGTGCATGTTCTAAATAAAAGAAGGAACTTTCTCAGTTAGTTTACTGCATTCTAGCCAACATAATTAGTCAAATTTAAAGAAGGAAAGAAACATTGGTTGGTTGATAATTTTCTGTAAATTACTTGAGTTGCCATTACACTTAAGCCTGCATGCATAACTTGGACCAGGACACTTTGTAATCAAAGTTATTTCTTCCCTTTTCAGGATGGTAGAACTATCGACACACTTGAGGGTGCAGACCCATCCAGTTTGGCTAATAAGGTTGCAAAAGTTGTATCTGATAGTTTTGCAGGATCTGCTTCACCTGCCACCAGTCTTGAAATGGCTGATGCTCCTACTGAAACAATCAAAAAGCTGCCAGAAGAAAATGGTTCTTCTCACAATGAAAGTCCAAGCTCTGACCTCAGTGATGCGCTGAGGATGCGTCTGCAACAGCTTGTGAATTCTCATCCAGTATTTTTGTTTATGAAAGGCAATCCTGAACAGCCAAAGTGTGGATTCAGCAGGACAGTTGTTAACATTTTGAAAGATGAGGGGGTTGAATTTGGAAGTTTTAATATACTTATGGATGACGAGGTACGTGAGGGAATGAAGAAGTTTTCCAATTGGCCAACATTCCCTCAACTTTTCTGCAAGGGTGAACTTGTTGGTGGTTGTGACATTGCTGTTGCAATGCATGAAACTGGTGAGTTAAAGGATTTATTCAGAGAACATGGAGTTCCTGTCATTTCAAAAGAAACTGAAGTTGTAGACTCAACAAAAAGTTTATCTTCTGATGCTACTGTACTAGAAATGAGCGAAGAGCTTTCCGACTCCACAGGACTAGATGCTGCATTGTCTTCTCGTCTTCATGTCCTCATAAATTCGAGCCCTGTGATGGTATTTATGAAAGGTAAACCTGATGAACCCAAGTGTGGCTTCAGCCGCAAGGTTATTGAAATTCTTCAGCAAGAGAAGCTAGCTTTTGACAGCTTTGATATCCTTTCTGATGATGAAGTTAGGCAGGGGCTTAAAATTTTCTCAAATTTTCCTAGCTATCCACAACTGTATATAGGAGGTGAACTTATTGGAGGATCTGATATTGTACTAGAGATGCATAAAAGTGGGGAGCTGAAAATGACCCTTGCTGAGAAAGGTATTATTTCGGAAGTTACTCTCGAGGACCGTCTGAAAAATCTGATCACTTCATCACCAGTAATGCTCTTCATAAAGGGTACACCAGATGCTCCTCGCTGTGGTTTCAGCTCTAAAGTTGTGGATGCTCTAAAGAAAGAAGGTATCGACTTTGGTTCCTTTGACATTCTGTCTAATGAAGAAGTAAGGCAAGGATTGAAGACATATTCCAACTGGCCAACATATCCTCAGCTCTACTACAAAGGCGAGCTAATTGGGGGTTGCGATATCTTGCTGGAACTGCAGAACAGTGGGGAACTGAAGTCCACACTTTCTGAGTAAAAGTTATATACATCAAATATCCAGTGTAGTCCTACTGTTGTCTATTTAGTTTAAGAGTTTGCTGTTCTATAACAGAGGGAAGGCCATGAGACAATGCCGAGGCTGATTTGGTGCACATTGGTTGATATGGGTTCAAATCATGGAAATAACCTCTCCTGGTGAAGGTTTAGGTCTATACATTTACTCCATGGACCTTTTGATCCCTATCTGCCTTGCAGCGGTAGAAGCTTCAAAGTGGTACTTCCTTTTTATCAGTTTGCTGTTCTAAATTGTTACTTTCTATTAGAAGTAAGTCTATATCTCCTACTAAGTTACACCAATAATGCTGCTTTTTTCTGGCTGGGTGAATCCAACTTTGAGCATTAAAATTGTAGTACATGGCTTAGAGCTGATATGTTTTTAAAGTTTCTTGTTTTAGCTTCTTTGTTCATCAGATGTCAAGAAACCAACTTTGTTTACTTTTGCATCATCTGCTTGAAACTGAAAAGCATAAGAATAAAAAGTAAATTTTGCTGGATTAATTTCCACTTCTGAATCTTAACCATGGCTACAAGTCCAACATTTAGCATTGGATTACCAAGATTTTAGTTATTCAGTAGGAGTTTGATTTTTGTGAAGATAGTCTAAAATATTTGACCTTGGTGATTCTGGAAAAGGTAGGTTTGGAGACTGGTAATTTTTTTGGGAAAATTCATGAGAAGTATCCCAAGTATGTTAGTTGTAGACAAACTACAAATGTTTGTAATGAAGAACTATGGTTTGTTTTTCCAGGTAATGTCTAGATCATACAAGGAGGTGAAAATTGAAAAAAGGAATTATTGCATGAATTTTGTTATTGTAATTCATTTTTTAGCAAACCTTCTTCTGCACAAATGCATGTGTAACCAACAAGTGAGTTAAACCATATGAATCATACTTCTCATCCAAACACTTTTGTATTGCTTGCTCCTGTATTTTATCATCTCCTTGGACTTTTAATTTTTAGTCAATTATTATATCCACATGAATAATATCACAAGGACTTGGATACTTCATAAGTCCGGGGACAGGGAAATCTATTAATCTTAACACGTATAGGGCATTTATGTGCGCAGGCAAACCAATTCATTCATGACTGCATGTAAACACTCCTGCGCGACAAAGTCGAGATATGCAGCCATGCAAATGTGACCTGTGTTCTTCCGCTCCATTGTGGTCGCACTCCTCCGACTCTTCTTCATCTTCTTCTTCGTCTTCCCTTGCCCTTCTCCCTATCTTTTTTCTCCTTATCTTTGATTTACGGGCGACAGCATAGGAGCTATAGCAAGGGGACGACGGAGGGGCCCTCATCTCATCTTCTTCCTTCTTCCCCCTTCTCCTCAACTTCTTCCTTCTGAAGAAGAGTGAAAGAAGAAGGGAAAAAAAATAAATAATGAAAGTTTGTTTTGGTTTAGCACAAATTCAATTAGTGGGGCTTTTGTGAACAAACTGTCCAATTATCGTCCTCATTTTGCCAAAGTATATACATCAACATTGTACAAAGAACTTAGTTAGCTCCAAACAAACAAAAACAAAAGAATCAAAGCCTAGTTTGTTGTCCGGAAGAAGCATTTAGTATCGAAGCCTCGACTTACTCCAATTTCTGCAACGACACTGATTTCTTATGCCATGCTCAAAGATTCAGATGTATAGCTTTTGTGCTGCTGCTGCTGCTGCTGCTTTGTGGTCTTTATGAGCATTTTCCTCGTATATTCCCCTCACAGTCTTCGAGAATTTTCCTCTCCTATCCGGTTGGAAGTCCCCTCTGCTGCCTGCCTTCTTCTTATGCGCAGAGCTCAAGAACCGTGCACTCTCAGAACAAGAACAGGCACAGAAGGGCACAGCAGCAAAGGAAGACCCATAAATGATGGAGTGACGTCTCCAACACCATCTCCCGCCTTGTCAGCCTGGTGCTGCCTTGGTCTCGTGGTATCCACGGCAGCACCGCCATCGCTATTCCCCCGAGCCCTCCACCCGCCGGCGACGTGTAATCCCAACTAGGACTATGGCGACGGTGACGACGCGGTTGAGTCTCCGGGTGCCGCGCTTCACTGGCGCCGATCGCGTCCCGGAGGGGCGGCGGCGGCGGGCGGCGTGGTGTCTCGGGGCGCCACTGGGGCCTCTTGCCGTCGCGATGGCCCCGGCCGTAGAGTGGCACCAGGCCGTCCGGGGAGAGCCCGAACTTGCAGACGGGGCACTGAGCGCCGCCCCGCTGCCGCTGCTGCAGCCACTTGTACATGCACGGCCAGCAGTAGAGGTGGCCGCAGAGCGTGACGACCGGCTCCGCGGCAAAGTCCAGGCAAATGTTGCAGTCGAAGCACCCGTCAGCCGATGCCTCCACGCCGTCGCGGTGGCGCTCTTCCTCCATGCCGTCTTCGGCTGCCCGGTGGGCGTACACGTTCCAATTACTTGGCAGCAGACGATGGTCACTGCCACAAGCAAACAACTCGATCGCAGTCGCTTACGTGCGAGGCTTTTCCGTAAGGCCCACCACCGGAAGAGTAGAGGGAAAAAGGCACCACAGAGACAAAACACCTCTGCCGATGTCTACTTTAACTTGGAATGCTTCAATGACGGATAACTCCCGCTTGACTGCATCCGTAAGTGGATTAGAAAACATCAAATCTAGTTTACATTATAGTCCCTTGAAATTTCTTGATTTAATTTTACATCGGGAAGTGGATTAGAATTTAAATTAACTATCTTATAAAAAAAAAGATAAATACATTAATATAAATTTAAACTTAAATATATATATTGAAGCTGACATGGAAAGGACCATAAGGACCGTAAAAACCACCAAACTACAGATAGAACAGAGTGCTGCTACATCTACCTACGTAATCTGACAGACAGATCAAGAATTGAATGCATGTCGTTGCCAATTCAAGTGGACCACCAATAATGTGACTTCCACGCCTCTCTGTAATGAGAGGCACAGGACTCGATGATGTAACCTGATCTTTTGAACTAATGCACATAATTCAATCGAGCACGGAAGAAAACAGTTGCTATGATTTGAACCCATCATCTTAAATGCCTTTACCATCAAACCTAAAAATTAACAACATAAAGTAATATAAAATGCACAAAATTTGAAATTACCAAATCCCTTTATTTATGCAATGACTCTATCTCTCTTCCGTCTGCTGCTTTTAGGGTTTAATCCTTTGGAGACATATGCCTAATTTTTGATCGAGGAGAATGATTTCTCATCATTTTATCCGGTAACAGCAAAGAGATCTCTTATAACGAGGTATGTAAAGCTAATCTTTCCCTAGGATCGATCAGGAGAAAACTAATAAGAAAGAAAGAGATCTCCCGCCCCCGTAAAGAATGATCGGGTATGAATAACGAAATGGAGACGAGATCTCGAAACAAAGATAAAAGGATTCCATCGGATCTGATGCAGACAACCCCCGACGAGTTCTTCATCGAGAACCCGGCCTTCGTTCGATCCAACCGAAAAATAGAGGAGGAAAGACACGCAACGATCGCGAATCAAGAACCGGAGGGGGAAGATGGAAGAAGACGAATAGAGAGACGACGAGGGGTTTAAGATGCCGCACCGATTTGGGTCGCGCCCTTCTCATGCGGAGTCGGAGACGGCGATAAGAAGAGGTGAAGGAAAGGAAAGCTTCTCCTTCGGCTGTGGTTGCTGATGCTGAAGTTGAACTCCTCGTCCTCCTCCTCGTCGATCTCCGAAAAAGAAACGAAGGAAAGAGAATAAAGCGCGAGATGGTGTCTGTCTTAATTAGAATTTAAAAGATCCTAATGATTGACGATAATATCTTATGATCATATATAATCTTTGTTATTTATTGTTTTTAAGGAATCCAAAATATATTTAGAAATCCCCTCAAACCATAAAAATGGATATAAATATCATCTCAATCAATCATAAACCGAACCACGCATAAAAAAACAAAAATAAATATATGATTCATGTTTTTATAATTTTTTTTCTTTTTAATATTTATTTACCCACCAAATCAAAATGGGAGAAGAATTGAATTGTTTTATAAGAGTTTAGTTATCAAACTTAGGTTTAAATATTTTGAATGAATAGTGAGTGATTGGTGTATAAAATTAGTATTAAGGTATTTATAATATCGAGTCACCTCTAGATTATTAGTGTCATAATATAATTTATAATTATCGTTGGATTAAGTTATATATATATATATTTTATTTTAAGATATATTTAAATTTTGATGATGATATCAATTAATGAAAAATATTTTGATATCGGAACAATGACTTTGCATTAGATATTTTGAACCAATGGTTCGGGTCATTCGGATACCTAATTAAAATTATAAGTCTTACTAATCAATATCCTTAGTCTTTATTTTGGTCTACTGGAGTGACATTGGTGGGCAGATGACCTAACAGGACCACATGCAACCATCAATCATGACGTTTTAATCGACCAAAAAATTAATTTAAGTATCGAATAAATCTTATAGACGTAGTTGGATTCTTTCCTTGCTTAATATTATATTATTTTGAGATATCAGGTGGATATAAGTTAAATATTTTCATATAATAAGTTTTTTTTATTGTAATCCTTTGATCAATTTTTTATTAGTAATCTCTTCACATGGGATTATTCATTATTGACGACAGTGAGAATGAAGCATAGAATCCCGGATATTAGGGACATAATGCAACGTTGTTGTGTTGCTTCAAGAAAGCTACTGCATTACGGGAGGAAATGATACGTGTGGGATGCCACTTCCCAAGCAACGCCGAAGTTGGCAACTGGGGAAGGCGAACGCCGCCGTAGAGGACGGTGAGATGGCCTTACGTAGTTTCCTCCATCTGGGGAAGGCTGCTTGCCGCCACCTACACCACACAAGCCTCGTTTTCTTTTGACGAGAACCGTTGGATCCCGATCGACCGGCTCTCGTCTCCCCGTTCTTGGAAGGTGGTCCAAGTAATCCTTCGGCCTCATCTGACTCGTTCTGCTCTTTATATTTTTATTATTAAATATTTTTAAAATATAATATTTATATTATTTATAATCTAATATTACTAATTTTCTTATTTTTCATAATTTATCCTCCGAAGAGAAAATAAAAAATAATATAAAAACATTTGAAAATTTAAAATAAAATTATAAATTATAAAAAAAATTATAAATGATAATCTCGAAAGAAGAAGAAGAAAAAAAAAAGAGTGAATGAAGCTTTTAATATTCTTTCCATGTAAATATTAGTTACTCAAATATTAAATTACACTAATATTTAGATCGCATTTTTTATGGCTGAACCCTTTGAGCCGGACAGAGCAGAGCAGAGCAGAACAGAGCATATTTGATATTAGCCTTCCTTTCAAGTGATACTTGTGATATGACAGACACATGAATCGATACGCTTCCTGTCACGCTGTCGATTCGCCTCGCCTACCCTTTCATCACCCATATATATCCCGCCCTCCCACTTCTCCTCCCTTCTCCACCGTCCGATTCAACCCCGTTCCGTTCCGTTCGTAGCTCAGCTCCCGATCCCCCATCTCTGGCGCGCGCTCTCTCTCTCTCTCTCTCTAGTGCAAATGGCGGCTCTCCGTGTAACCCTTGCTCGCCGCTTATTCCAGATCGCTAAGGTCGGTTCGTCCGCTGGCGCCGCCAAACCCCTCCCCGGCGCCCGCAATGAACCGCGTCCGATTCGGTGCTTCCTCTCCTCCTGTCCTCAGAAACAACCGTTCTTCCAGCTGCCGCTGCCGCCGGACCGCCTCGCGCTCCCCGTCGGCGACCCGCTCGTCCGGTGGATCCGCGGCCTCAACTCGGACCGGATCCGCCTCGACCTGCACCTTCCGCCTTCGGGATCGATCCCCGCGGGAGCGGACGAGGTAGCCAGAGGAGAGAAGGGGATGTTGGTGGGGGACGTGAGGAAGGCCGTGAGGGCGTCGCAGATGGATGCGGCGAGGGCGAGACTGACGGCGACGAGGGAGAGCTGCGTCGCCTACTCGGAGTTCGTCCGGATCTGCAGCGAGGCGTCGGGTCGCGAGCGGGGCGTGGAGGTGGCGCGATCGCTCGACGAGTTGGGAGCGGTGATCGTTTGGGGCAACGTCGTCTTTCTACGGCCGGAAGAGGTAGCCAAGGCAATCGAGACCGCGATGATCCCGTCGGTTGAGGACGCTGAGAGAGGAGAAGAGCTGAGGAGGATGGAGGAGACGAAGGCGGAGATCGACCGGAGCGCGGCGGCGCTGGTGAGGAAGGAGCTGTGGTGCGGGCTGGGGCTTATGGCGGCGCAGACGGCGGCGTTCATGCGGCTGACCTTCTGGGACCTGTCGTGGGACGTGATGGAGCCGATCTGCTTCTACGTCACCTCCATCTACTTCATGGCCGGTTACGCCTTCTTCCTCGCGACATCCAGAGAACCCTCCTTCGAGGGCTTCTTCGAGAGCCGCTTCGCCGCCCGGCAGAAGCGGCTGATGAGGGCCAGAGAATTCAATGTCGAGCGCTTCAACGAGCTAATCGGGGATTGCCGCCGCCCGCATCCCTCGTTCGCACCCTTTAGTATGCGGAAGACATGACCCGAGCGAAGAGGCCGCCTTATCAACGGGAATAATCTTAGACTTGATGGGAACGAAAGAAAAAATATATATAAATATAAATATAAATATAAATATAAATTATCATGTTAAGTCAAATTTTAATTATCCAGACCTAAGACCTAATCTGTTTTTTTTAATCAATCTGAAGTTATACTTTATCAATCTGAAGTTATACTTTATCAATCTGATCCAATCAATGTTGGACAGTCCCGATAATGTACTTCCGATCCTCAAGTTAGTGAGCTAGACGGGATACGACGTATTGGGACGTATTTGAGAATGGTAAATGCTTCGACACATGATGTAAATCGAATGACCGAGTGTGAATGGTTAATAGGAAGTGGTGAGATCGTTGAGTATTAGCGTGCCTATCTTATAATATCGTGGTGTTAGTTATTTAATGTCAAAGTATCAATCATATGGTACTAAAGTATTGGGCTCCTGACGTTGGAGTGTCGGTCATGTCGGTCATGGAGTGCTGAGATATCGAGTGCTTAACGTTGAGGTATCAATTATGTGATATTGAGGTATCGACCACTTGATGTCGAGATATCATACATGTGATGTTGAGGTGTTGATCATATAGTCTTGATATTGATATGTTGGATGTATAAGTCTTTGAGGTGTTGATCACGTGGTCTTGATATTGATATGTTGGATGTATAAGTCTAACGTGTCGACCACGTGATATCGATGTGTGAGTCATATTATTTTACCAATAACATCCCTAAAAAAAGAAAGAGATAAAATCATTATATAAGGAATAAAATTTTAAAGTTAAAAAATAAAAAAAATAAATATTTTAGAAAAAAAATAAAAAAAAATAAAAATGAAGTAGGGTGAAGAGTGAAAATAACTTTTGTCTAAAGATGATAAAATGTTACAAATGTTCGACATAATTAATGCTAATCGAAATATACATATCACGACGTAAGTAACAATTTTAGACGCGATGGCTATTTAATATTTTGGGCATCCCACCAAGAAGCTTTTTCTTGTGAGGGGTTTGCACACCTCTGAAGGTTTTGAAATAGCACATTTGCCTCCTCTTTATTTTGATGTCACTGTTCTTATAAATATTTAGGAAATATTTATTTTTTTTCAAAAAAATAAAATAATTTATTACATTAAATGATGTATGAGATGTTTACTTATGAACTGAAACTTAAGATCTATCACTTATATAATAATACACTCAGCAATCGGATGTCTCATGTCCAACATATGTTACATCTTTAAATATCTAAATGTCTCGTATCTAACATATGTTACATCTTGAAATATCTAATTCTTTATGTATCTAATGTTTGTTTGTATCCATCAATAAATTGATATAGATATTGATAGCGGGATATGGGATTCATTTTGGACTCAAAATCTCATCAAATAAAATTTGATGATGATAACTTGCTCTTAGGCGGAACACACCCGTTCTTAACTGGTACAAGTTCAAGTCTTAATCCGAACTGATACAAGTCAATGTGTTCTTACAGGTAGGCAGCCTTGTGAGGTTGTAGTCCACATTTTGAATGGCATCTCTATGCTCTACTTGCATCTTTACCAGCAAATAATGCATACGGCCCACACTTTGTACTACTTTTACGCAACTTGTAGAATCACCCTTGCATTTGGGCAGTGAATCCTTCAAGTGATGATGCATCTTAAACATCAAGAACACTTTACAGTGTATTCTTCTATCTATCTCATCTAAAGCTTGGACTGCAAACTCCAATGCAGTTCTATACATTTAGCAACAGGCATTCATTGGAACTAGTTTTTATACAACAGAACAAGTACCTAGGCAGACTTTTCTCTGATACTAGGCCTTCTGATTTCATTATTTTGATGTAACAGCTGATGAAGTCTCTCTGTTCATCATAGCATTCTTTAAAGACAGAGATGCAGAACACTGTAATTGATTGTCTGCCAATCCATTATTGTTTTGTTAAAACAATAATGCACATATCTGAAAATCTTCCGATAAATAAGCATGTGTATTCTTCAAAAATACTGTCACTATGAAGCAGTCAATCTGTTCACACAGTTTTCATCGAACAACTTTCCGTAGTCCCCGAGATCAAGAGAGCTAACCTCATCGCGGCGCCAGAACCAATCCTCATACCGGTACCACCGCATCAGACCTTCATCTTCGATCATCCTCTTGCATGTAGTGCATGAGTTGCTCTGGCAATGGAAGAATTCGCGTATCCGTGAACCCTTGTTAAGGATGGCTTGGTCTAGTTCTGAGTGAACCGGTCTCCGAAGGGTTTCAAGCAAAAGGCAGTGAGATATATTGAGCACCTCCAGACTATCCATGGAGTCCAAGATAAGCAGCAAGGCTTGCTTTGTGATTATAGAACATCGCAGGCTTAATACTTTCAGCTTTGGAAGGTTCACCGTGATAGCAAATGCAAAGTTCACATCAAATGTACCCATAACCTTAAGCTGTGAGAAATTTTTGCAGCTTCTACTTATTTCTTCCATTATGTATGGAGGATGGGGAATACCGGGCATTGTAAGTGATTCCAGATTCTCCCATCTCCGGATGGCTTGGCATATCCCAACTTTTGTGATGCGGTTCCAAGCCGGCATAACTAGTCTTCTAAGATAAGGAGACCTGATTTCAATTGTAAAGGTAACGACATTAATAAAAAGAATATGTAAGAAACTACAATGTGATTATTGATTTAATTTCACACTGTATAACAGGTGTGGTGTTATCAAACTAACTAATTTAGCTGGCTACTATTGGCTGCAATTTGGAAATCTTAACCTCATTTGTACTTAATCAAGTTCATTCTCTTGCAGGTTCAAAAATATAAGCAGTTTGTTGTTGTCCATCATCATCTTCACCACATGCTTTCTAGGAAGTGCTACAAGTGTATTTCACATAATAGAAAAAAGGGCCATTGATCATGTTATAGATGGATGCAAAATAACCAACATGTTTAATGGTACAAGGCCTGTAGTTGGATGCTGAGAGGTAATTTAGATAATGACTCCGCTAAGGATTATAAATTAGTTGTAGTATTGCACAATTTTGCTGAGATGTCACTTGAATAATTGCATTTGCTATCCTAGAAAGGTTTATTTCATCACTGAACCAATAACAATGTCAAGTAAAACACTAAAAACCAAGGAAAATTACCTTTCTGATATGTAACTAAGATGATCATCTTTCATGTATAGATTAAAATGAAAGATCATGTACGTGACATTTCCAAAACTAAGAGCCATAGCCATCCTCAATATTCGAGTCAACCTCCTATCAGACCTTTCATCCACCCATATATATGGTGGTGCTGTTGTCTGGATAAAGTTGGACTGCAGGTGACCCAGGTCAAGGGTGTTCCAAATAAATGGATCTGAACAAGCCATGCGCCACGAACGACAAACCCGGGAAACTGGAGCCAGTTGGATCATGTTTAACTCCTTAAATATCTTCACCAGGACATCAGTATCCATGTCCTCCCATCTTCTACCTACGTATTTAGTGTCTGCCATCCTCGCCGAGTCAAAGAGCTGTCAAAAGGACATCAGAGGTTGGACTAGTTAGATTTTACTGACACAATCACAGAATAAACTGATATGCACCATAAACCAACAGTAGGCAGGAGTGGCATACAACATACCAAATGAATGCAGATTAGGTTATATCAAGATAATTACAGAAGCAGGTTGCCAAGAGGAGGTGTTTTAAGTGGCACAAAATACAGATAGTTTAATTTGTAAACATCAAAAAATAATTGAATAAACATTTCAAGCATATTATCAGCAAAGATCAACCATGAAATATGATTGAAGCCGAAAAAGAAAAAATATACTGAAGAGTCCAACTCATGTCCAAAGAATATCATTGGGTGTAAAAGAAATCTGAATATTTCATGTAAAAGATTCATGGCTCTTCACTCTCCAAAGAGATCAACAGAGTAATTTTTTGTTGTTGTTAAGTTGCATTTGTTCAATTGGTGTAGAATCTTCAGGAGTCTAGTCCAATAGCCTTTTGTTTTTACTAATTTGTGCTTATCAACTCTCCATCCATAGATTTCTTCCTTACCTCCATTTTTTCGTATTTCCTTTTCTTAGTATCTTCCCTTCATTAATTTCCGCTTCCTGTTTATTTTTCTAAGCATATTTATGCTGTTACACTATTTGTTTCTTCTCAAAATAACAAACAAGACCTTTTGTTCCTTGAGTTCTATAGCTTTTATTTTAAATAAAGATGCTTCAACTGTTAATGATCTATGACTAAAATTTGTCATGACCATAATCCTCTTGTGTTGTTCTGCATCGTTTTATCAGCATCCCAGAGGGCAAAATTAGGTGTACCCCTGCAAGTTGCAACTGATCCTCTATACACATCCGTAATTGCAAATCCCATCAACCAGTTAGTTTTCAAACACTTGTAAATTATCTTTCTATCTTCTTTTCTCTCCTTGTTACATGCCACATCAATCACTTCCTTCCCCATCCCTTTACATTCTCTTTCTCTTCACCACTCTTCTTCTTCTTCTCTTTATCTTCTGTTTATTTCTAGCTGCGACAGAGAAACAAAAAAATAAACACGCTGCAGACCAGGGACAGGCAGGAGAAGAGTGTAAGGTGTAGGAGACGGATGTGCGTAAAGTTATTTCCATGCTTTAAGATAGGGGGGTGTTCAAGTCGAACCGGAAAACTGAATCAAACCTGAATCGAACCGGTTCATCAATAATTCGGTTTTGAATGCTATAAATGGTTCCATTTGGGGGGGGGGGGGGGGGGGGTACTTTCCTTTGGTCCGATTAATTGGTTCAGATCAAACCAAATTGATCTTAATTTAAAAACGCCAACCCAACCCAAAAGCCCTAAAAACTTTAAAATCCCTTCCTAAACTTGACGAGTTCGCTACTCTTCCTTCGTCTCTGCGACTCTTCCTTCTTGTTCCTTTCTTGACCTTACTCTCTTATCTCAGGTATGTACCCTATTTTTTTCTCAATCTTCTTTGTTAATAATCCCCTCGTTGATTTGTATGCATCACTGCATATTCTCATCATCAAGAAAAAAGGACTGCACGTGAAGTCTTTATTCCTCTAAGGCATCTTTCAATAAAAAAATAAAAAACCACTTGTGCATAGGCCCAATTGTTTAGAATGTTTAGAATAATATTTGTGATATAAACTTTTTGAGAATATAGGTCCAATTAGATCAAAATTCTGGTTTGGTTCAATTAAACTGAATCAGTTCACCAAACCGAGCCGGTTCATTTGAAATGTATATTTTTAAATTACTTAAAATTGAAAACCTAACCGGTTTTGAACCGGTTCGATTAGGTAGGTCTGAAATGGTTCCAGTTCGAAATACCTTGTTTTAACCGAATCTTTCAGTTTAGTTCGTTTCGACCCTTAACGGTTTGGTTCAAACCTCTTTGAACACCCCTACTTTAAGATCGATGTTTTAATCCATTATTTAACCATAATAAACAAGAGTTGACATAGTAGTAGTTAATTAAAACTGGCAGCAAAAGCATATCTGAAGGAATCTTCAGTTTATAAGGGTGTATAATCATAGCTGCAACTGATAAGAATAAATAAGAAATTTTTGAGTTTTTCGAGGGAAACATAAACTATGTATAAGCTTACTGACATTATTTCGCCTAGTATTCACTCTAAAATAGCTTCAATGCTTGCTTAATGGCTAGCGGTCCTCCATTTCTTTGTGAAGGTCGATTTTTCTTTACAAGTGAAAACAGGATGCAATTTCCTTTTCTCTCAGTTTGCTTATTTTCCCAAACTTTGAGACATATCTTGTTGACCCTCAAATTCAAGCCTTCTGTTGCAATTATGATTGAACTAATTTCCTCTTTTGTTTGCAAAAAATATAATCGGCTGTACTCATCATAGTTCAAGGAGTTTCTTCTTTCTTACCAAGTTCTCATAAGATAATTTGTAATACCTGATTGAGTCCCGCATCAAAGGTGGACTAAAACTTAGATTGACTATGAGTATACTACTATTAACTTTGAATTTAAGCATCTTAGACTAGTGTATCAGGCTCAACAAGTTAATGATTTATTTACCCTATTGAGTAGGGTAGTGAAAAATGGTATCGGAGTTAATCTAGTATTGGACATGAGTATGGTGAGAGACTCAATTAGGAAAGGACTATCCGTGGTTGGGACTGGAGGGACATGTCACGATATGGAGGTCACCAAGGTATGATTTTGACTTATATTGGGCCTTGACGAAAACATGATGCTTAAGTGAGAAAGATTATCACCCCCCAATTTAGTCTCCCATTCGAAGTGGGCTAAGACTTAAAGTGAAAGAATCAGATAGGTCTACTACCATTAACTTGAGCTTAAGTATTTTTTATCAAACTCAATAAATTTAATAGGTCAATTATCCCATCGGGTCGGGTTGTGAGAGCTACCTTAGTCTATTTAGAATGATGACAAAATGATCTCATGCTAACCAGGGGCTGTTTGTTATCCTAGTATTTATTGACAATCAATTTATAGTTGCCAATTCACTCTACTTGTAGCCAGACTCCAAGGGAATGGGTAAAGGTCCTTAAAACTTCTGTATTGAATCTACTTTTACTTATCGAAGTCAAGCCATGGATATTTTCAACTAGTGAAGACATTAAATCAGGTTGTACCAAGAAAGAAACAGAACCCTTTCAGGAGAAGTGGAAACTTTGAAATGCATTCCAATAAAGATGAAATTTCCTGAGCATTATACATTAAAGATCACAACTTCTTGTGGAACATGCCCAAAGCTAACAGAACTCTCAGGGGAAAAAATATTGGCCTGGATCATGAAAAAATTCCATTACTAGGTACCTCAGCCTGATGACAACTAAAATTATTCCTTTTCTTTGGACAACATTTTGGCTAACTGGTTGCACAATAATTGCAGATCCATATTATTCGAACTTTCGAGTTACCTAGATCAGGCTTATCCATGAACCAAAATTAACAGGAATCTCAATAGTCAGCATAATGGACTTAAGTTATAATGCCTTGATCTTCTCAGAAGGAATATAATAGAGCTGCAATGACAAAATTGTATAAGATTGGACTGGTGCAAATAAAGATAAAAAAATAAATATCTTTATGTTACATGATGCAAGAAAAGACAAAATCCTTTCAATGAGTCTCAAAAGAACATCTTTGCATATATTTTTTCTAAAGAATTTCTTGACAGATAAGCATCCACACACTTAAAAGAACCCACAGACAATTGATTCCCTGATTTTGGAAAATCTCAGCTAAGAACTCTTTTATGGAAAATGGAAAAACTAGAATACCTCTGTCATTCACAATCATCGGGTTGGCAGCTAAAGGAGATGGTCCTGGAGATGTTTTCTTGGTAAGAGCTGAAAGAAGGTCACCAGAATTCCTCCTTGATATATTTACTAAGCTGTTTCCACCACCTCAACTGTTGTTTCTGTACAGAAGCATCACAACCACACACATTAGACAAAATGCAGGTGCTGATAACCAGCAGCCATATTAAAAATTCCTCTTTCTAAGTTTTCTGCTTGTTAATGCTGCTCTTATTTATTTCCATAGCGAAAAACTGAAAATTACCAAAATAAAAATAGTTTGTGTTTAATTAATGTATCAATATATAGCTGTCGTTTCAATACAAACACCTACAGAGCTAAAAGAACCAGTAGCTGACAGGACCACAAAACTTTATTTGAAAAATGACAATTTCAGTTTCGTGTAGAATGGTCCTTCGAGCAATCATTTTCTCATCAACAGGTGGTCACACGGAAATTATGGTTGCTAATCAGAGATCTTGAAAGCACCTAATTTCTTTGAAAAGGTGAATAATTTTTGAAGTTAAAAACTGCAAAAGCAAACAAGATGACTCAATCAAAAGATAGGGGGGAAAGCCACCAATCAAGTGTCACTATCTTCAATGAAATTATGCAGACATTACAGGAGGGAAGCACAGATCAAGACAGTTTCTATAAGGAGTATTTTTATAACCATATAGACCTCCTGCATTAGTTTTTTTTATGCAGATCATATGACATGTAGTTTTCATCACCATCTTTGTAAAGCATCTGTTCCATTTATAACCAAAATTGACTCATCAATGACACTGTATGCAAGTGTTTTGTTGACAGCATAAACAAACTATTTTCCCATCATCAGATATGATGGGATCATTTACCATCTTGGCAGATGGTTGGAAGAGGCTTCAGATTAAGCTAACATTCACCGAATTTATGAAAAAAAAATCTAAAATGGTCCTTGTAGTTTATCAAACAAGGATCCACTTTTCCCAGGGACATGTCCCCTTGTCTACCATGATGTAAGACACAATGTAGTTGTTATACTCCTGTTATAACAATTCTTAATCCGCTTCCATTTCTTGTTCTCTTTCCTCGTTATGGAACAAAACCCCTCCTAGAATCCAAATTCCACCAACCATTGCCCAGCATCTGTTCATTGGTGACCTCCAAATTACAAACTTTTGTTGTATTAGAAGTATCTGCTTCACGACAAAAACATTGCTGCAAATATTCAGTGTTTTTCATTCTAAATCTGCAGTTGAACTCAGGTGACACATTTATATCCGCGTAAGAAAAATCACGAATCAAAAAAATTATGAAAGGAACTAATCCAAGAATTCTATTCATTATGAGAGGAAAGCTAAATGTTAAGAGCAGATCGAATAAGAGAAATTTTAATTTTTGCTTAGAAAATAAACAGAATTAAATAAGAAACTAAACAAGAATAATTCATCGTCCGAACACAAACCCAGAATTTAGTGTTCTGACACTATCAGATCCTAGAGAATTTTGCTTCAAAATAGAAACTTATTCAAATCTATCAATTATTTCAATAGAACAATTGAAAGAATAATGAAATCAGAAGGAGAAACACCCACAAGATGCATCGTGCAAACTCTACTCGAACTTACTTGCGTTTATTGGTCAATGATTGCTTCTTCTATCCTCACCCAATTATCTTCCCTACCTTATTTCGGAAGATTTCACCTCGAAAGCCAAAAAATCTGCAATTGGGACAATCAACGGGCATCAGAGTCGTGGTCAAGCCAGCCAGCGTCCGACGAGGAATGGCCGCGTACGGTCGAGAGAGGCAATAGAGCGAGAGCGAGGGGGGCGTGCGGCGAGGAGAAAGGAGCCGAAAGGGGGAGACCGAAACAGAGGGAGAAGACGGAAAGGGGAAACGAATCCGTTACCTTTCGCGGCGGGGAGGGGATCGCCGGCGGCGGGAGAATGAATGGGGAGGGGTTGACGATCGGAGAAGGGAGATGAGATGAGACGAGCGAGAGCAAGGAGTTGAAACGGGGGATCGTTACTTTACCTTCCGCTCCATTTGGCTCTCCCCCGTCACCTCCCGCATCAAGATTCGCCGTAGATTCGTATGTTCCACGGGTTCCTAATGTTTTGTGTCTAACTCTTACTACCCACAAATGTACCACCCGTCTCGTCTGGCGTCCTCGGCGTGTGGGGCCCACTGATGGCTCTGGAGATCGGGTATGAATTCTGGTCAGCAGCACGAATGCGGTCTTATAATATTGTGTCGCGGTCTGCGGATGTTATATTCCGGGTCGGATCCGAATCGACCCGAACCGTTTCAAAAGACAATTTATGCGTTGGATAAAAGGCTCTTATGTCATTATAATCCAACAAATCCATCTTATGCCATCCCTCACTATCATTAGTGATGCTCTCTTACAGGGAAATGTAAGAGGAATCAACGTCAATGGATCTATGAAGTCAAAAGAGAAGCCAAGTCAACCAACTCTCAGCTCCGTCTCTGATCAAACGAGAAGCTGGTCGCATGAGCATCGACGCCATGAGCCACCGGCAACCTTGCTTCACCGTGGTTTTCTTCCACCTCCGGCTGGCCTTCCATTAACTCCTCTTGCCGTCCTTCAACGTCGGGGTCATCGTCGGTGAGGTATCGACCCGGGGAGTTCTGCACACTGTCGAGTTCACTGCGGTTGTAGTGCAAGAGGTGGACCGGCGACCAACCATGGCGGGGAGTAGCTGTTCTGCTGGTGGACAGAGGCGACACACTTCCCGACCTTCGGTTCTCCTTTAAGTGCTTCTTCGCTAACTGATGCCATTTCCTCAGAGCAGTCGCCACCCTCTCGTCGAAGATGGTGGGCTTCATGTTCGATCCCATCTGTCAGCAGAAACAGGAAATCCATTAGTCCTCCGGCGAAGAAGAACACTCTCCGCTGTGATCTTGAGGAGTGTTACCTGCGTCACCAACGCATAGAGAGGCAGTGTGACGTAGCTGCACAGAACCTGGATGAGGATTCTGACAGAAGTTGATGCTAATTAGATGCCATCTAGATGAGATTTAAAGACAGCAGGAGACGGAGCAGAAGACAAACCCCAGTGAGATCCGTATGATGATGTCCTCAATGTTCTGATGGAAGCACGAAGGATACCCGAACTCATACTGCAAAATGATTAGTCCCAAGCACATCAAAACACGATGTTTAAGCGAAGCATTAAGCAGTTTTTGCCTCGATTTCTTACCCAACTCCACGCCAAGAAGCCCAGCTGAAACGCATTCTGCAAAGCGAAACAAAAGCATCTGTTGAGCATCTGAAATTGTTCGAAGAAATGCATTGATGTGCTGCTGTAAGATCACCTGAAAGAGGACGAAATGGATGAGAAAGAGGAGGAGACGGGGACGATTGAACCAGAAGAGATCATCTGCTGGTTGAACGATCGGAACGCCCTTGACGACATCTCCACGCTCCATGATATTGACGGCCATCCTCGTAATGATCACTTGAAGCTTTGTTCCCACCAGGAGGATCACCTGCGATCAAAGAAGCGACTGCAGATTCAATCTTGGTCGGTCATGGATTGCAGTCTTCTGCTGTGTTTTCTCTGGCTTGAAGACACTTACAAACAGAGGGATAAAAGGCAGCCATAGGTTGGAATGCCAGCCTGCAGAGCAACACAACCGTTAGTCTGCAGCATCCAATCTCTTCCTCCATCGATAGGTACAAAGATGAGATGACAGATTGAACATTACCATGAGTGTTAGTCAGCAAGAAGATTAGTGCGAAGAACCATATCGTCGGACTGCAGATAGATGAAGTATTGATTGTTACTACTAGATTGCAGATTCAGGTGAAGATAGCAAGTGATGCCTTCTCCTATCTAGCAATCCAATCATGTTGTCGCCAGAATCTTACAGAGCAAGAAGACAGTTACATGAACAGGGATCAACGTACCTAATTCCAACCACAACTTTGAAATCCTCGTCGAGTGATCGCTTTATGTACTTCTGGAAGTTGAACTTGGTCGAACTCTGTGGAGCCAAATGTGCCTGAGAAGTAGCAAGTGAGTTTTGGATTGTGTGACCCAAAGGCAGTGTCTTGTGTTGATAGACTAGCAGTGACTTACCATGATGAATCCATGTCTCAGTGTCAGATAATCCACCTTAGGAACTGATCTCACAAATTGTCTGAAAAAGCAGACCTGATCAACATTGCGTATCTTGATGAGTACAGATGTGAAGCATGTAAAAGCATCATGAAAGATTCGGGACTCACAATCCAGATGAGAATGGGTGATTTGCTCCAGAAACTCAAGTGCCGGCGGCCGAATGATGTCTCCCTTGCAAATCTAAACCTTGCAGGATCTGACAAAGGATTTTGAGGGTTATCGCACTCATCACACCTTGAACTCATATGATGAACTACGCTAGCAGAGAGGCATACCATGTGAGAATTGGTATTCAGCTGTTTTGGTCTCCAGTTCCCATGCCTTCCATCTCCTCATCTGTATCACATGTGCAAGATGTAGTTCATCCTTATATTAAGCATAGAATCTGAAGTCTTTTGGGGAATCCAACAGTTCTATACCTTCAATCTACCCAAAGCCATTGTGCTGATGCAGTAGAGGATGTGGGAGACGGCCAAGACAAAGATGAAAATGTGAAGCTGGTGGATTCCATCGGTGGAGATCAAAGGAACTTTGCCCTGTTCAGTGTCACCAGAGAATTAAGCTCAAACTCATGCAGCTTTGAGATGAATCCTATTGACTAACAATGAGACTTCTGAGCAACCTCCTTGTGGACCAAGCTAGATGAACATGAAGGCACATGGACAACAGCCAAGGCTTCTACAGTGGCTATCTTATTCTATCACAACCTGTTGTTGGTTCTAATCATCCAAAATGCTGGTAATTGTATCAAAAAGAAGAAACACAGATGACAAAAACCAGGAAATATGTTTCCTTTAATTTTATGTTCTTTATCTGTTCTTGGTGTCAGACTACCAACGTTGACAATGGAGATGTATAGGTCGGACAAAGGAAATCTGACCTTTGCTGCACATTTGTCGGATCCTCCACCTCCAGCCAAAATTCGCCGGAAAACACCAGCAGAGACGGAATCCTGAAGGAGTCTCCGCCCAGTGGTGCTCGAGTCCTGCGAGTGGCCGTCGGCGCTGGTGGCGGCAGATTCGTCCCCGGGCTTACATGGATGCCATGAATCACCGACACTCTTGGGCACACATATCTTAGAAATGAGGCTTTGACCAACAGTCAGAAGCAAGGATATGAAACCCATCAGCATCAGCTCTGTCATGGAGAAGACGACGGCCATGCGTGAGCTTCTTATGATGCTTGAGATCAAAATCATGTAACATACAACTCCTTACCAGATTTGATCTTCTCTAGTGACTCATAAAGTGCTTTCCTGTGACGCTTCTTCAACCACTGAGCGAGAGAGAGAGAGAGAAGAAACGAAGCAGGAGATCAAGCATGATCTAAGATGGGACTGCACTAGCTCATGAGGCAAGCTTCTGCTTACCTTGCCGACGAGGTCGATTACATGCTCGATGATGATGGAGATGAGGACCAGGACCAAGCAGACGACGGCGACCGCCCACGTCGGAGTCACCTCTAAGGTCCGGCTGCTGCTGCTGCCACCCCCGGCCATCGCCTCCTACGCTTGCTGCAGCCAGTGATGCAGAAGGTTATGGCGGAGTGAATCTTGTAGGCTGGAGAAATGGAAACCAATTCTGAGATAGAGAGAAGAAGGTGAGGGAGATGAACGAGTTTGACTTGGTACAGTTTGTGGCTGCTAGATGATACATTTATAATCGAAGAAGGGAGACTTCTTTTTTCCTCTCACATACATAAATGCTATTTCTCTTTAACATGAGTTCAATGCATGTTGATATGTAACTGAGAATAGCAGACTTTTACTTCATACAAGTCAAATACTACACCTCAAAACAAGACAAAGATTATTATGTCATTGCAAAGATGAGAAGCTTGTAGAAGACATCTTGAATGTGAATAGGGTGTGTACTCCAATTTTTTGTTGGCATATATGAAAAGAAAAATGTGTACAAAAGAAGTTTTGTGAGACTTATATTTCTGCAATTATTGTAAGATGTTGAAGGATTGGGATTGATTTTTCAATGGCAATGAAAAATAAAATACTTGATTGAAGAATGGACAAGTCAAAGCTGATAAAAGCAGGAAAGGAGCTGCAGAAAACAATGGGAGGTATTGATCTGTGTGCTTTCAATATCATTTATTTTTCTTGGCTTCGTTTCATGTTGAATGGGTCGGCTTCGATCACCTTTTGCTGTTGGACCTGTGGAGGTGTTTAGCTGCATCATCTTCTACATGTTTGACTTGAGCTTCCAGACAGTTGCATCTTTGTGATTGGATTTGGTCAAACAAAGCTTACCAAGCACAGCCCTTGTCACTCGATGAGATCACAAGGGAGCTAATATTTTGGTGTTACGTATCATATATCTATCTATTTGTATGGAGATGAATGTTTTTACTTGCATATTTTGTTTCTGCTACTGGATTTTGCTCTTAAAGTTTTTGGAGTAAATATTAACATGAATATTGAAGGCACACACCTCTGGCTAATTTGATTCTTTTTTTATTATTTTTATTCCATTGATTTCTTTGATAGAATCAGCACCAAAATTTGATGATTAAACCCTACTAAGCTGACAATAAGGTATCAGAGGTCCTGACAAAAGATAGATCATTATCAGAATGATAAAAAGCATGGTACCAGTCTTATTTGACTTTTTCCATGTTTGAAATTTCTTGGATATTTCTAGGGAGTTTTTGTTTTACATAACCAAGGTTTCTTCCTTTGAAAATGAGTTCCATCAGACCCAGAAATGAGAGAGTAGAAAATTATTTTTGATCTTCCAATATACAGAGTCTTCCATAAGGGAAAAGAAATATCTGATATTTACCTAAGATATATATACTTCATTTGTCATCAAGTTACCTAAGATATATATATTTACCTAAGATATATATACTTCATGTTATTTCAGATGTTGATGCTTAACAATAATGTTCATGAAGTTTATATGAGGACTAATTGTATTAGAAAGGATATGTTACCATGTCAGGCTCCTAAATGTAGCAGCAGCAGTAGTATTCCAAATGCTACTTTTCCTTTTTCTTCTCACATGAACAGTAACTACTACTGATGGAATCACTAAAAGTGGGAACTAAGTCTTTCCACAAATCAATCATAGTTAATACACTATCAAAATCTGGGAAGTCTCAGGGAATTCAACCCCACAATGTTGTGCCTCAACAGGTTAAGAGAGGATGAGTTGAGCAAGCAGATGAGCTGCAACTTTGATGAAGACAATGGATTAGATTGTGTGTCAGAATCTAAAGAAGCCAATGAGTTCTTTCATGCCATCATCAAGAGGTTTTAAGATCATTTGACAAGCTTTGTCTGATTAAGTAGGAAGACACAGTGTGTACAGTCTCATCACAGAAAAGAAGGAGCATACCTGATGGACACACAGAACAGCAGCAGCAGAAAGAACCTGAAGAAGGTCCAGTAGTAACACCATGGGGCTTGCCATTGGAGGAGCTTGTGCTTTTATGACAGAGGAAGAAGATGGCACAGATCTCATTTCGCTGATCTTTCCACTGTTGGAATGTTGACCAGTGGAGTTTCTGAGACTTGTATTCCTTGCCAATTTCACACAATGGACCACATGCTGCACTCTACCAAGTCTCCCCAACCAAACTACACCCACAAGTTGAGAAGCCTTTTATTTCAATTTGTTTGATTTGTATTTATGTGTTTGTGTCTCCAAGTGAAAGCCACATTAAGGTCAACTGTTTGGATCCTTTCTCGTCAGTCAGCCCCACAAATGTCATATCCTAGTCAGTAGTTAGGTTAAGGTTTTCTGACCATAATAAACATTTCAACTGTTCACTGAACCACATAATCTATGAACTACAATCTCTCTCTCTATATATACATACATACATACTTACTGTTAGCATATATAATACTTCAATCAAAGATCAGCAGAGTCAATATTTGCTAGTTCTAAAGGAGAGATAATAATCTTTATCGACTCTGAAAATAAGAAAACTTATAGAGAAGGAACCAAAATGTTTTGAGTGGCACAAAATGTTTAGATAAATTGATGGGTATTGGAAACATAAGCACCAAAACTTATAGGGCTAACTTCAAAAGAGACTTTAATCAACACTAATAATAGCTTATAGTTCTGATCAAAATAATTCCACACAATTGACATGCCTTGTCTAAGTACATTCCATGAAAAGTCTGCCCCATCACAACCTCACACACCACATTTGAGCTTCCAAACAAATCAGAGGATCCCCATGATGATTATTTGATGGAAAATTGATCCATCAAAGCTAATAATTGTTCAAAGTCCTCATAAAATTCATACCCTAATTTGACTTGTATTAGTAACTTGACCAATTTGACAAGTCTTGTTTTCACATGTTAGACAATTCTAGACAGTATGCTGTGAAGAACATGTAAGGAAAAAAGAAATGATAGATAATGTATCCAAATAACAGATAATAAACTTTCCGAATTTGTTAAACAGATCATCAGCTCTGCTTGTTTGCTACTTGGATGATCAGTGTTGGAGTGACGGAAACAATCTCACCGTTAGTTAGTCGAGACTAAATCTCTCTGTGCTGTTCACACTTCACAGTCGAGTTTTGTCGCACATCATCGTCAAAGAACGAATCAAACCTTAATGGATCAAATAGTCATCACAATCCACATCTCAGTTTCTTCTTTGCGATGTCGGCCCTTCTGGATGACTACATGCAATGGCCTGATCAACTGTGGAGACGAGAAATCTATAACGCTGAAGTCAACCAAATTGATGTGTGTGCATATCTGCAGGTTAGGTCTAAAAAGACTTGGAGATGTTTTTAGCACACCATCAAAAGCAATAACAAAGAAAATCCAATGAAAAGGACTCAATCTGGAACAATGAAAAATCCATTTGAACATTCTTGGAGTTGCTTAATCTGTCCACAGCAGTAATATGAACAAGAGACTGTTGGTTCCTGTTTGAACAAGGAAGATTCAAACCATTCTGGAACACCAGCACCAGCATCAACATCTTTCTGAGGTGATATCCTAATCAATAACTTCTTATTTTTGGTGATTGAGGTAACCATATTAATCTAAGAAATTTCGTCAATCAGCAAATGCTCAAGGATTCCGCTATTCAATCCTTTTCCTGCATTATCAACATCACCATGCAAGAACAGACTGATGAAATTACACAGCACTCTGTAGATGATGACTTACAATGACTGGAAAACATGGCTTCAAGTATGCCTTTTATTTGACATACAAAAATGATTAGGATTTGGACCACCATTCTCAAGGATGATAATAATGATGTTATTTCAATGAAAACTTAGGCTTCCAAAAACCATAGAAGAATTTAGTGTCAACTGATATGACAATGAATGTATAACAGCTTATTATAGATCAAATTTTACCAAGTCATAGTGTTGGGTTGAAGTGGCATAACATTCTGCAAACACAAATTTCTGCTTCATTGCATCAGATCCAACATGATTTTAAAAGCCATCAACTCACTTGCAATTCAGTAAATTGTGTTATGAATGGTTGTCCTAAGAAAGCCAAAGAATCCATCTAAACCACTACATATTTCATGTTGTTAAACCGACAAATCATCGAAAAGTAAAACATAACTACTCGTAGGAATGATCATCTTTTCCAATTAGAAATTAACTTATATCAGAAGCACAATTTTTATGCAATGCACCAAAAACTTGACCATCTTTAAAAATTTTGCAACCTAGGTTCTTGTTTTCACTTGTTCAAAACATCAGTTGTAACTTCAGTTTCCATATCTCAACAGGATATTGTAGGCCTCATATTATCACGCAGAACAATCTGCGAAGAAAAAAAAAAGAAAATTTGAACATTGATTTTAACAACCAATGATGTAAAAAAGAGCATCTCTTCACAGTAGTATCTAACTTCATCATGGAAGCACATTTTCTTCCAAGCAGCAACATCAGAATCCTGTATTTTGATAAGGAATCATGTGTTGGTTTCAACGACAACTCGGTCTTTAGCCTTGTGTAAGCTTTCATAGCAGCAAATGTCATGCTCATGCTATATGAATATGCGAATTGAGCATGAACCAAGAAATCTTCTCTTAAACCTAACTAATCATGAATTGGATTCCTTTGAGTTGGTAACTAAAGTTTTCAAATTTAGGATTTGACATGAATATGTTGGATCTGCATGGGTGGCAGAATGCGCAAGACTCCCACCGACACAGGACCTAAGGTAAGTAAATTTGTGCAGTCTTGGCCCATTCAATCAAAGAGGTTGTTTGTATCTGTGATACTTGCACTATTCATCTAATTTTAACTATATAATGCCCATATCTCTGACCTTTTTTAATGCTTCCAAATTGACTATTTCATAATCTAGTTAACTTGTGATTTTAATCTGGTTAAAGAGATCACTCCACTTTTAACACACCCACAAAGTTGATTAAAAGAACCATTAATAATCAAAATGATGAATGAAATAGAATCACGCTCAATCTTGTTTTTGATGTTCAACTGCAAAATACATCAGGGTTCTCAACTAATCTAGTGAACTATCTTCCCCACAGGGTGAACAATGTGAGAGATCATCGGCCTCTTGCTTTCACTGAGTGACTTCTTGAGACATTCCTTCTCGCACAGCAACCAACAAAGTACACAATAGACTAAACCATTCAGCAGAGTGAAAAAGGAAAAGAAATCAGTGAATCATCTGGTCAGGTGGATGAAAACTTATAAATTTTTTAAATCAGCTAAAATACAATATCATGCATTCTTATGCAATATATATCAATTTCAATATCAGACATAAGCCAAGCAATAATGACAATATTGTTGTACCATGTCAATTTCAAAGTGGAGTTTGAGAAACTTACCAATACAACAAAAAGAATCAGGTTAAAAATTGCAACCACTCTCCATTCTGTCTTCATGTATTGAGCAACTCCAGCCCTAATATTAAAGCACAATAAAACTCTGTTAAACAGATTGAAAACTGAGCTTCAGGACAAAGACCTGGTATGTTGTCAGGAAACTTGCTTGCAAGAGTCACAGTCATAACACTTGATACTTCTTGAATTTTTATAAAGTTTGCAGTCCTTGTTTGTGCTAACAGGATGATAGGTCAGGTCATAATAGGAGGCGTTTACGGCAGGATATCCACACCTGAAAATAGAGAGAGAAATGCAAGCAAAGAAAATAATCAATTCATTTTCAATAAAAAACTTTAACAAGAAATTGAATTTTGAATTATAGCCAAAGCTACTAAGAGCCAGAAGAAATGCAAATCCATGTGGAGGAGTGCATGCCTTCCTTTCCTACACAGGGAGGGATACACCTGCCTTTAAGTGAAGACACAGATAATGTTGGTATGCAAATTTTGAAAAAGGTTCTTTGTGCCTTTGTGTTTCACAAGCTCAATAATATGTTCACACTCAATATTATAATGGCTATGTGATAGGGAGAACATGCAGAATCTGTCATAACACTACGTAAACTAATTAATTCTTTACACTTTACTGAGTTAATCGACATAAGGGTTTTGGCAATTCATGAGGGGGAATAAAGGAGTATAAATGTATATCTTCCAGTCACAGCTATTGCTGATAATTTTAATGAATATTTATATGTACCCTTGCCAACTTTAGTAAATACCTGCAGTTATATGTCAGCGAACCATTGTGGACTATGCAGTACCTTATTGGTGCAAAGCATCAAAAGAAAGCAGGTATTCTTCTTGCTCAGGTTTCAGATCCAAATTAGGTATGCAAGGGAACATTAGGTGGCAGTTTAAGCAAACAAGAATGCAAGGAAACATACTCTGATGGTGGCCTACAGCAGCCAGCCTCGATGGGGCTAAGTTGTGCCAGTTTATACTCCTTCAGAGTCTGGCCAAAGTTCAGACAAATGAGAAAAAGAATATTGCAGTTGATATTTGAGAAACAAAAATGAAGAACTGACCTTGTAGTTTTTTGGCAAACTATTGCAATCCTCAGACTTGACAAGGCAACTTTTCAAGTGTCTCCAGTTTTTGGTATTGTTGAGCTTAAAATAGAAAACCAATTGCATGAGCATACAACCGATGTATATTCAAAATATTATCAGCAATACTACAACACTATTATCATATAACATAAGACCTACCTGCTTGAAGAACCAAGAACTATAATCTTGAAGATGATACTCCTTGTACCTAAACAGCAATTTAGTAAGAAATGGTTGGTGTAGCATACATAACTAATCATCCTTGTACTTAGATGATGTCCAATTTCTTGTACACCCCGCTAGAATCATCTGGAAAATTGTAGTTTGCATAATGTTTGGGTACTTTGCAGATTATTCTCAAAGATGACTGTCGAACAGAATGACTGAAGCAAATGACACTGACAACTTCAACTGTAGACATTTGTTTGCAATGATCTCTAAATGATTGCCTTCATCCAGTAGGCAGATAGAAGGCCGTGAATTGTTTCTTGAAGACATACTTCAATATTCCATGATCTATCAAAACTATTAAATAAATGAAACACGATTCTTCTCATATTGAAGCTGGATAAATGCTTCAAACCTTGGAGTTTGCAGGTATTGATAAAATCTTGATTAAAAATTTATTGAAATCCATCTCAAATTGTGTTCACATTGATTCTTTTACTTCAGAGTAATTAAACAGCAAATATTAATGTTTTCTTACCTCAGACCAGCTACAGCATGACCTGAACCACTATTTGTTATGATGAACCTACAAGAACATTGGCTAGATTAAAATTCAACTCCTAATAAAAAATGGAAATGAACCAAAATTCTAAACAAAAGTAGTTAAAATAATCATGTGAAAATGAAAAACAAACCATATGATTTTTCCAAGTGTATTGTTCTGCTGATATAAAATATTTCTGAGGGACAAAAGGAGTCAAACACATCATAGTTACAAAAGCTTTAGCAACTTAAACTAACATCACTGTGTCTAAAAGCAGTATTCAGTTTTAAAGAGTTGAACAACTTAAGAAATACTAATTTTAAACATTTATCATAAAGAAGCAATAGAAGAAAGGAAAGAAAAGGGTAACCAGGAAACAGATGAAGATTCAATGTGTTGGAGATTTTGTACATTCATGTTGAAATAGTTGGTGTTAAAAGATAGGTAGCTGAAACCTAAAAGGGCAAATGCATGATCAGGGATTTAGCAAGGTTAGAATTTATATAAAACATGATATGCTCCTCGACAAAGTGAAAGGATTATAGTAGAATGATGATTGAAAAAAGATTGTTTTTATCAACAAAAGAATTAATATGTACATATGATTTCAGCTTCCACCTATGCTTGAACAGAGTGACTGAGATATGAGAATCTTCATTCCTTTTTGGCTTATTTTTTCTCTTCCTAACAATCTTTCAGTAAATTCTGAGACTTCCAGAGAACAAATCATTGACTGATAAATAAGCATAACACCTTTCTTGTTGGTAATCATGGAATTTTCAAGATTCAATAGGAATTAGGACTAATTAAATGTCATTAAGTGAAGAGAAAACAAGGATTTCAACCATCAGTACTTACGCCAGCACGGTGAAGACCATAATTGCAATCAAAATCAAGCACAACATGACAAGATACTGAATTCTCAATGTCAAGGTTCCCTTAAGTACAAGGCATCAAAACAGAAAAGCATTAATGAATTCAATAGATTGCAACTTATTAGAAGGATACCACCCACAGCAGAACTGCAACATTTTTCCAAGCACCCAGGAAACCTATCAAGGATCTATGTTATGGAGACAGCAATTAGTTCTGGAAAAGTAAAACAAGTAGCTAAACTAAACATCTTAAGCACGAGTCGAAATGGAAGGAGACTTACACTAAAAGAATCAATGCACCGAGACCCATGACAGGGATGGTCAAGGACTTTCGGCACTCATCATGGTGGATGCTCATCCATATCCCAAAGCAAATAACTGCTATTGCTAGTATCTACAACATCAAAACAAGTCTCCAAGGAGACATTCTAGTGGTTAAGGTGCAGTGCGCAGAGTCAGAAGCTCAGGGGATTGAATTTTACTGTAAGCATCTAGTATGCATATATGTAATGTTTGAATGGAAAAGTAAGGTTCTAAGAAAAAGCAAAATAAGAGTTAAGGTGATCATGGCAGAATATTCAAGAATAATTTCTGTAAGTAAAGAAATCACACTTTCATTTTCCTTTCATTTGCTAACTACCAAGAACAAAAGCAGATTTAATGATAAAATCTTTGATTTTATCAATACTATCGGAAAGCAGGCCTCGGTTCATCTTCCTAATTTCCTGTTCTTGATTCTCTTATAACCTCTCTAACAAGATTAGGAATTTTGGGGCAAAAAAAACCAGACAAGGGGGAGTTAGTTCTTTGTACTCTAAATAACAAAAGAAAATATAAAGTTCCATAAAACAAACAAGTGGCCTGCATCACTTGGATCAAACCCCTCTTCATCACCCAAAAAGGAGCAAAAAAGAGTGAAATTTCTTTCAAAAAATATGCACATTTCTTCCAACGGAATGATGAGAATGTGAAAAGCACCAACTTTAGGGGCCAAGTGGTGCAAATGGAATGGCAGAATAGTATTCAGCACGGGCGTGGTGATTACAAATGTTGATTTGTCCCACAAAAGGAAGCCTTACATGAAGGGAGAAAGAAGAGGGTAAAGAAAGCAGCTGAGATGTTTACCATGGAGAAAAAGTTGATCCACCTGATGACGAAGGTGCTCGTTCCCGTGCTCATGGTTCCCCCACCCTTTCCGCTTCCCCCTTGCAACGAGGGCTTTTGCTAGAAGACAAAGCAGATCAGAAGAAGAAGGGATGCAGAGTGTGTGTGATGAGGGCAAAAGACGATGCCGTGGAAGCCATCACTTTATAGCCCCAGCAGCACAAGCATTCAAAACTGCAAACCTTTGAGTGTGACCGTCTTCTGCGTAGTGGGACAATGGTACTGATCCCGTGTGTGTAACGGGCACACTTCAAACCGTTATAAATCCATACATCATGAATCTTCGTCATAAACCGTTATAACTCAAATGTGACGGATCTTTGTAACGTACGGTGAACAGAGAGCAAACTGAGGACGACGATGGGATCAGCTGCGACATCACCGTCATCCTTCTTGGAGATGCCAAGAATCAAGGACGATCATGGAACAGATGGTGTCGCAAGACGAATCCATCGTTGAGCCAAGATTCTACTGGGTTGAAATCTTTAGTTGCAGACCAAAAACATGGAGCATTACGTCGAACATGGAGTTCGCGTTCCTACACTTCTCCGCAGAGAGAAAAGATAGCACGCTGCAGTGAATCCACGCCCTCTCTCTCTCTCTCTCTCTCTCTCCCCTTCTTCTTCTTCTACTTACCAACAAGAGTTAGTGTGACAAAGAAAGAAGATTCTTCGAGTTTACAACTTCGGCAAACAACAGGCTTAAAGATGAGATTGCTTAGGGTTGATATGTGTTCTAATCAATAAGCAGCTTCATGAGCAAACATGGAGCGGTTCACATCTCTTTCCTGATCACGAGCTTCTTCCTGGGTGCCGCTGGGATTGCTTAACCAAGCAGCCTGTGATAAAAGGCAAAACCGCATACCTGTAAGTCTTACGGCAAAACAATAGGCAACAATAACAACAACACAATAATTCAAAGTGTTTTTGACGTATCCATCCAGTTTGCCGGACCTCGTGCTGCTTGTTCTCGTGCTGCAATCGCGAGCGTAAGCGAAGTGGATGTCTCACCCATCACTTCCAGAAAAAAGAAGTTGCTTTTGGTGCAGTCATGGGTTGAGTATATAGCAGCAGACAACGAAAAAGAGTTGAAGGCATCAGAAGGCATGTATGGTTAGGAGAATCCTGATGCACTCGAAACTGGAAAACCTGGTGTCCCTACACACCTATCATCGACTGCTTCTTTCGATCTGTAATCAATAAGAGGAGTGATCGATGACCCCATCTGCCTCTATGATATATGCTGAAGCAATCCATAAGGTGAGATCGACGGCCTTTAAATCTCAGTACCTGAGCATTAAATGAGCTGCAGAAGGCAGAAGTCAACACCTCCTCACTTCTCCAGCTCTTCATGGGGTGCAGGACATGTGGAAGGCCAGAGGTGAAACATAGGAGGGGATTGTGGTCGCCGGAAGAGGACCAGAAGCTGAGGGAGTACATCCTTAAGCATGGCCATGGTTGCTGGAGCTCGGTTCCAGCCAAAGCTGGTGAGTTTCTCGTCCTTGCTGCTTCAGCAGAGGAGGTTTAAGTCAAATTCTTTGAAGAACCAGTAGAATTCGTATCGAACTCCTTTTGCTATTATATATAGGGCTGCAACGAGATGGGAAGAGCTGCAGATTGAGGTGGATCAATTACCTGAGGCCAGGACTGAAGCGTGGTAGCTTCTCTCCCGACGAGCAGGAGACAGTCATGAAGCTTCATGCTGCGTTGGGCAACAAGTATGAACTAATTTCTCCGAATCTGACCTCGGCATCTGCACTGTGTTCATGCTTCTCGAACTTGATATTTCAGGTGGTCTCTGATCGCAACGCATCTTCCTGGGAGGACAGACAACGAGGTGAAGAACCACTGGAACTCCTACCTGAAGAAGAAAGCCGTCGAGATCGATGGATCGACGTCGTCTTGTTCCTCCACATCTTTCACGGCATCAAGCTCTCAATCCTCCATGATCGAATCACGTGTCCCTGAAAACCTCAACAACGAAGTCCCATTTCCGGCCTCTTCAGAGGATGGGTACTCATCCTTGTTCGTCTCACAGCTCACCAGCCATGGCTGCTCATCTTTTGGGACTCCACAACCTCCCGTCGCCAAGGTCATATTTGCTGACTGGTTACCAGCAGACCATGCAAATGACCACATCTCATCATGTTTCCTCGAGGAACACCACCAATTGTGCCAGGAGACACTCCAACCTAAATCCTCTCAAGCTGCCTTATATGAAGATTGGAGATATCTCAGTGGCCACAACTTGTCACATTCAGATATCTCAGGTGTCGAAACCTTGCAGGTGGATGAAACATCACAATCTGAGATGGAGAAACGATGGGCAACTCATCAGATCCTCTTTCCTTGGTTCGATTGATTGATGAACTACGAGGAGGATACGCATGATGGAAGAAGAATTAGGCGAGAAACAACCTCGATTTTGTTTGTCAGGACTCGCCTATTATGAATGTAATGAAAGTCCATTATGTATCGTCATCCATCATGATCTTTAATTTGGTGCAAACTTATATATCAATCATCAAAATCGATACATATTTGGTGCAATCTTAATATAAACATTCTGTTGTCCTAAGATGAAGACATGTGGATCCCACACGACGTGGGGCCCGCATGTCAGGTGAACCTCTTGTGTGGGCTCTTAATTGGATAAAGTTGTGGGTGCAGACTTTTGGAGCCTGAAATCGTGTTTATAATTGGGTAAATATCATTAATTATTATTAATGATATTTATTATTGTGACTGTTGCTTCACATATCAAAATTTCTTCTTAATAATTTTCATTTCTGAGACCATAATCCTAATTTTCAAAGCTTATAAGCCACGATGACAAAAGACTAAGATGAATCTTGCTACGTGAATCATGAAAATTCTTCTTATTTACAGGGATAATATTATGTACATTTAATTTTTTTTATTATTGTTGTTCCATGTTCAACTTATGTTATTTAGCATGCTTCGACCAACCATGCTGAAATGTCATGGCGGATAGGTCAGCATTACCGAAATTTCTAGATACTTGAAGGGCTTATCGGTCATTCTGTATTTTGCTATAAAACAGAGAGAAAACGGCTCTCATGGCGAAATCCCCCGCTCACCCGAAGTTCTACTTTCGATCGCTCGATCTCCTTGATCTCGAGCCTCCTCCCGTTCTCCCCTCGGATTGACGATCTTCCGAGTGACCCCCAAGTCGTCGAACGCCGCTCTCTGTCGTTTGAGGTGGATTCGTTCGGCCCTCTTCTCGAATATAGAGAACCCTAATCTTGATCTTTTGTTCTTGGTCTCTTTGTGGATCTCCCTTGCTTTCGTCGGAGTTCTGCTCAGCTTTCCTTTGCTGATCGGGGCGAGTTCATTTGGTCGAGACGAGTTCGAGATGCACCCTCGAACGGGTACGAGCCCCAATTTCTGCGAGCAGCAGCAGAGCCAGCAATGGTTGAGGGGAAATCAGATGGGAGGCGATTCTGGTGCTGCTGAAGTAGTGGAATTTGTTCAATCTGAATAGGTAAAGGAAAAGACTATAAGTTTTAATTTAAATATTGTAGTTTTTGTTCGGTTGGGTGAAGGTGCAGATCCTACCTGAAGACTTCTCCTTGCTGACGCGGAGAGCTGGCGTGGGGAGCCCACCGGGGAGGTGGTTTGTCATGAGAGCGATCTGGCCCTTGTATGGTGGAGTCGAGTTGGAGAGCTGGGCCGTCCTTGTTGCTGGGTCGCCTCCTGACTGTGTCTTCGGATGGCGCCAAGGGTCCTGCACAACAAGTTTGTGCCGGGGGTGTTCCGGCTCAATCCCTTTGATCCTTAAGTCAGAAAGAGAAAAGGGGAGGTTAAGAATGTAAGTGAGAGAGCGAAAAGCTCTTGCCCGCTTGCTTCAACTTGGACCAGGGCTTGGCTTTTATACCTGGGTGCTGAGCGGTCTGGACGTGTGTTCGCCAAGGCCCCCTTTACGCCATACGACGAAGGCATTAATGAGGGCGGTTTGCTGACGTGTGTCCTCTGATGCCCGAGATGAATTGTTGGGGGGACGCTTCTGGGTTGACTTCCTTGCTGCTTTTGGTTATGCAGGGAGTGATCCTTTCATCGGTCATTGAGAAGGGAAGGTTGGTGAAGGCAGACCATAAGTCATTAATACAGAGGTATGACTTATGCTGATGTATCAATCAGGAGTGGGTTGTGTGGGCCCATTCCTAGAAGTCGGGGCAAGCATCATGACCTCCTACTGGTGGCTATAGGGACTAGATGATTCCCGGGTTTTTGCTTAGGTGTTGCTTATGTGGTGGGGGGAGCGGGGTAGTGTCAAGATTATCCCTATCATTCGTCCCGCTTGAAAGGCGTTCTTCGGAGCTTCGAATGGAGGTCTCGAAGGATGTCATTTTTCTTGCATGGTGATGCGATCACTATTCAACTTTGGGTTCGTTGCTTGCACCGTGGTGGTTAGTGCGAGGCTTGTCTGGGGTGGGTTGTGCTTTGCCAGGGCAATCTTTGCTTAGAGGGTGTTGACCTAAGGGACCTCTCTCTTTATTTCTCCCTCTTTATATTCGTTCTCCCCCTTCCACACGGGAGTTCATTCTCTCATTTTTCGACCTCTCCCTTTTGCTTCGGGAGGTTTCCTTCTTCGTTTTTGCCTCCCCCTTCCGCACGGAATGTTGGGTCTTCTTTTGGGCCCGCCCCTTCTTCCACTTTTGGGGGTAGGTACTCGACCGCCTGGGTGGGAGTGTAGTTCCGTAGTAGCGAGTGTTGGCTCAATCGCATGAGGGAGAGGATTGATATTAGTCCGTCGTAGTAGCTTCCGTCATAGCAAGTCTTGATTCGACCGCCGTGGGTGGGAGTATCGGTATCAGTCCGCCGAAGCGGCTTCCGTCGTAGCGGGTCTAGATTCGATCGCCATGGGCGGGAGTATTGGTATCAGTTCGCCAGGGTGGCTTTCGCCATAGCGGTCTTGATTCAACTGTTGTGGGCAGGAGTATCGGTATTAGTTCTTCGTAGCGGGTCTTGATTCGATTGTCGTGGGTGGGAGTATTGGTATTAGTCCGCCGGAGCGGCTTCCGTCGTAGCGAGTCTTGATTCGATCGTCGTGGGCGGGAGTATCGATATCAGTCCACCGGAGTGGCTTTTGTCGTAGCGGATCTTGATTCGACTTTCGTGGGCAGGAGTATCGATATCAGTTCGCCAAAGCGGCTTCTGCTATAGCATGTCTTAATTTGACCGCCATGGGTGGGAGGATGGCTCGATCGCATAAGCGGGATGGACCCACTGTGGTGGGCTTTGGCTAGCGGTTGTGGGTGATGCTACGACGGGTGGTGCTTTTGCTGCTAGGGTGCTTCACCCATGGTGCACGTCGGGCTGTGACGCGCCTTCTTGTCCTTGGGACTTGTATCGCTTGCAGTTTTTAATTATGGAGGGGATCTTTTGCTACTCTAAGGCTTGATCCGCTTAAGGGGTTGTGCCCCTTTTCCAGGTTCTGTTGTCGTGCGATGATTGTAGGCGCGACTTCTGTGGCGGGCGCTTCTTGTGCTGGATTTCGTATTGTCCCGAAACAGATTTGTATGGGCGTTGCCTTGTAGAAAACGAGATGCTTCTGACATTCATTGAGGTTATTCTTGGGTCTTTATATGGCAGGGCTTTGTCTTAGTATCGTTAGGTTTTAGAGCTTTGCTTTATCGCTGTCCATTAAGACTCTCTGTGCTTTCTTTGTTGGTTGATATGGATTCTTATAGTTCGCAAAATGGTGTCCCTATGTTCCTGGAGCTATCGAGCTCACGGGAGGTGGTTCAGAGAACCTCGTTGAGGGTTGACCTAGGGTCGTTTGCGGAATCTTTCGTCGGATTGGCCCCGTCGCAAGGGTCAGCTCTTGGTGCACGTGGGGACGTCCCAGCGTGCTACGAGTGGTGTTTTGGGGGTACCTCCTCCATTGGGGGAGGGCGTGGAGAGCTGCTCCATCCCGGTGGAGGTAGGCTCGGGACTCCTGATGTGTCCTGGCCCGTCGTAGCGTTTGAGACTTGGACCTCTCTGCCAATTGTGTTCCTACCCCCTAGGGGATTGCATGGTCTTTGGGATGACCAACCGTCCTCCTGCGACCCTCGGGGCTCCCCTCCAAGCTAGGAGGTGGGAGGGGTTGATGTAGGATGCGAGGCTGTGGGAGGGCAGCACGGCTATGGGCGAGTATTGCTACGGGTCGCTTAGCTCGGTTCTAGGCAAGCCGATATACCAGGCCTTTATCGAGTCTCTGGTCAATCAGTGCTATCGCAACAAGGGCCCAGGTTTCTCGGTCCTTCTGTCTTCTCGAAACTGATTCTGCTTTTTTGGGTAGCACCACCCATACGTCATAGGCCTAGTCGACTGGGCACACAATGCAGGGATGCTAGTGAGCCAGTTATCCCACGCAAACACAAGCCTCGTGGTGAGGGTGGCAGAGCCGGAAAGGGCCTCCGTGATAGCTGAGGCCCAGGCCGCAAAGACAGTCGTCCTGTTGGGGCAGGCCTGGCAACAGCTTGAAGAGTTTAGGGTGCGCTTGACGGAGGTTGAGCGGCGCTTGGGAGACCTGCGTTGCCGCCTGGAGAAGGACCTAGAGCGGGGTTGCCAACTAGAGGGTCGGTTGCAAATGGGCTTTGACGAGCTGATGGCCTCTAGGATGGAGGCGAAGGAGCTTCTGGCTGAGTGGCACCGCTTCGGCGATCGGGAGCAGGAGGCGGTTGCTGCGTATAAGGAGTTAGAAGGATTTCGTTGGGGGCTGCGAAGGGTGGAGAGGGACTTTTGCCGCTATGGGTGCCTCGTAGCCCTTTGGCGCTTTTAGACTCGGTATCCTAGTTTGGGCGTGGAGGAGGACCCCTTTGCGCAGCTGCCCGAGGATATGGAAGCGTCTTGGGGGTGGATCTCCTTTGACAATGGCTCTAGCTCCGGCTTTTCTTCCTCCTCCAGTTGATGCTTTTGTTTTCTTTGTATGGAACCTTAGGCCCAGGTTGCGGACACCCTCTCTCTCCATCTCCCTAGAAAAGCTGCCGATTCTCCTTTGCTTTAATTCTTCCTTCTTAGCTTCTTTCTTCTCCAGCAGCCTCGATCTCTCTTGAATTTAATAGTAATGTTAATTATTAATAGTAGTTAATTTTTATTAATTATAGCCTGTGATTTGTTTCAAGGGTTAAATTTGTCATTGCTAGTATTTTGATGTATAATGTAGTTTTAACATCTTGAATCATGGCAAATGTAGTTTTAGGATTGTTATTAGATTTGAACAAAATAGTATTTTAGTGCTTTATGGATGGTTAAATGAATTTACTTCGACGTATTGGTCATGATATTGTTAATATGAAATAATATGAAACTAATGTATTGTCTAATTTTTATTTTAATGATTGTTTTTCTCCTTAATTATATTTTTTATAATTTTTATATTGGGGAGCTCCTTGCTTTGCTTGGGTGAGCGCTTAGTGCCTTAGGCATTTTGGAAGCTTTGCATCTTTTAGTTTGGTGCCTTTGACAGCAATGGTCCTTTCCTTTGTTCCCCCCTTTTGGATGCCTTTGCGACTTTTTGGTGCTTAAAGTTTCAGTTCTGGATACATTTAAAAAGTTAAAGACCTTGGTATGCATTTGACTGATTGACTCGACTTTAGGTAGTACTAGTTTGTTCCCATAGAATGCCTTGAAAACTTTTAAATTAAGAATCAGTTTTTTAGTTTTCAAATATATGAACTAAACTAAGCAAAATGGATAATTTGCTGGTATGTGGTCAAGTTGCACTTTTAGAAGATTGATTACCATGAGAGTGCTAATGGCATTTTGAGCTAATCATATCTTTGGATTTTGCATAGAAGCTTAAAGCTTTCAGAAAATGATAAGGTTCTGTAAATGAACATATTGTTTTTTTTTTTAAATGATGCTTTACTCTCAAGGTGTAATACTTCTTGAGACATTGGTTGCATCATAATATAATTTTTGTGTGAAAACTTGACTAGAATTTTGGAAAAAAAAAAAACCTATAGCTGAAAATTTTTGTATTTCTGTTATATGAATAAAGTTCCATTTACAAACTTTCTCATGGCAAATAGTTTGTAATTTTAAAAGAAGTCTTATGTGTGAAGTTAGTTTTTTTCTCTTAATTCTGATGTTGTTTTGGGTTGATAGTGGTGTTTGTCATGTGATTGAGGTGCTGCCCAAATGCTGTGGTGGACACAAGGACCCTTTCTTTGTCAGAATGTATCATATGTATTTATGAGTCATTTAGTTTTTCCTGTTAATTCTGATATTGTTTAGAGATGATAGTGTTGTTTGTCATGTGATTGAGGTGCCTCCCAAGTGCTGTGGTAGACACAAGGAGAACACTTTCCTTGTCATAATGTATCATATGTATTTATGAATCATTTAGTTTTTCTATTTGGGGAGGCCAAATCAGGAAATTTAAGTGTTCAGTGTTGGCATGAGCAATTGCCTGGGTGCCTAGGCTAGTGTACATAAAAAAGGTTTAGGATTAATCCATTTATATGATCCTGCCTATTTTTATTTTGTAAAGATGTACATTTCTGAAAAATATTACTGTATATATTGCAGCTACATACTGCAGTCATTTGCTCTAATCACAGTTTATTTGTTTATGTACATTTGTTTATTTGGCTTCTGTTTGGAAATTTTTTGTCTGTGGATCACACAGTCATTTAGGTGAAAGCAATGTGCTTAATCTTTTATAACATTTTTGTATTAGGTGACTATCATGGGAACTTAATTGAACAATTATTTGGAATGCTATTTCTTGAGAATATCTATAGCTAGCTCTGCCACATTATGTATGATTATAATTGGTTTTTTGTTCTGTAAAACCTGTCACCTTGTATTACCACTACTGATTCTTTCTTTTCCTTATTTCTTTTCTTGATTGTTTCAGTTTAAGATTGGAGGGCACATCTAAAGATACTGCCTCCTGATAGTCTTCACAAGACAGAAGCATGATTTAGATTGGTTTTTAATTACTATGATGCACAGATTAAGAAGCCTTTCTTTTTGTGTTTGGTTGTTAGTTTGTGCCATCTTGCTTACTCATTCATGATTAACTATTCTCAATATTCATGTATTTTATTATAGTTATCTTCTTTTACAACATCTTCTCTTGACAATTTTTTGCTTTGTCTCGTCATCATCAGATCAATCGGAAGCCACAATTTGAAAGAGTTCCTTATGGTGCCTGCCTGGTTGATGGATATTTGCGTGCTCTTTGACTATCTCATTAAGCTTATCGAGCACGTCAGTTTGGATTCGGTGTTGGTGAAGTTGTCAGAGGTATTTAACACGCCAGAAGAATAAAAAGCAGCGGCCTTTGTCATGAGATCTATTGTTCTTCTTGGTCATAGATCGGGTAGGATACTCTCGGGTTCCTGTCTTTGGGTTTGGCCTTCGAGAAGCCTTTGCAGCAATCAGTGCGGAAAGGATGATGGGTTTCCAAAAGATAGCAGCAAGAAAGTTGATCCTGGGCATCTTGGAATTTCTCCAGAAAGGGTCCGTAGAGACAAAGAAGCATTTCCCTCAAAGGATGCTGAAGAAAGATTGGATTTTGCAGATAATAAGTTTGATTTTGGGGGAAATAATGAGGAAGAGTTGGAGTGTGGACACCTCCCTGAGGAGACCCTTCTTGGTTTCTCAATTGGTGGTACAGACACAGCAGATGATGATGATCAGAGCGATCGCTGTGGCAACATTAATCCTCGACGGAGGTTTATAGAGGGTAATAAGGCTGAAGCTGACAGGGTGTTTGAGATCTTACAACAGGATGGGCCTGCATTCAATGTCCGGTCAGCACTAGATGAGCTGCGTCTGCATGTCTCCAATGCATTGGTGAGAGAAGTTCTTCTCCGCATTCTTATGTCTATAAATGGTGCCAACAGGTTGCGGTGTGCCAAATTGGCCTATAAGTTCTTTGTGTGGTCGGGTCAACAGATGGACTACAGGCATAACACTAACAGCTATAATCTTACCCTGAAAGTTTTTGCAGAAGCTAAGGAATTGAAAGCCATGTGGAGACTGATGGATGAGATGATCGAGAAAGCATTGCCAATCACTGCACGCACATTTATAATATTGATTTGCACTTGTGGAGAGGCTGGCATGGCCAGGAAGGTGGTCGAGAGGTTTATAAAATCCAAAAATTTTATCTACCGGCCTTTCAAGCACTCCTTCAATGCAATTCTCCATTCTCTTCTAACTGTGAATCAGTATTGGTTGGTAGAGTGGGTTCATCAAAAGATGCTGCTCGAGGGGTACTCGCCAGATGTTTTGACCTATAATGTCGTCATGCGTGCTAAATACATGCTAGGAAAGTTGGATCAGTTCCATAGATTGCTTGATGAGATGGGGAAAAATGGGTTTGCTCCCGACCTCCACACGTATAATCTCATGCTCCATGTGCTTGGGAAAAGTAATAAACCACTTTCTGCACTTAAACTTTTAAACTATATGAACGATGTAGGCTGCCATCCTAGTGTTCTTCATTTTACCACTTTGATTGATGGGCTTAGTCGTGCTGAGAATGTTGATGCTTGCAAATACTTTTATGATGAGATGGTTAAGAAAGGGTGTGAACCAGATGTAGTATGTTATACTGTGATGATAACTGGCTATGTAATTGCAGGAGAGTTTGATAAGGCACAGGAAATATTTCAAGATATGTTAATCAGCGGGCAACTTCCAAATGTTTTTACATACAATGCTATTATCCGTGGGTTTTGCATTACTGGGAAGTTTGACGAGGCATGTTCCATGTTGAAGGATATGGATACAAGGGGCTGCACTCCAAACTTCTCAGTATACAGCAGTTTAGTTGCAAGATTAAGAAATGCAGGAAAGGTTTCTCAAGCAAATGATATAATCAACTATATGGTAGAGAAAGGTCACTATCTTCATTTAGTATCAAGGTTCAAGGGTTACAGAAGACGTTAGCTGAAATTGTATGAATGGCCATTTGTGAACTGTGGATACCATTCTTTTTAGCTAAATGGTGTTTGCAGGAGTTGAAGTAACAGAGACTATTTACCTCAAGCATTTTATGAGGATTAGATCCTCAAGCTTATCTTGTTTCTCTTTTATCTTTAGTATCTTAGGCAGCAAAGAAAGAGAAAATGGTTCCAATGGTTGTTCTTTTCGGATCATAACTTATCAAGGAAGTACTATTAGGTAGTAAGTATTCCAGAAATCAAAGGCATTTTATATTTGTACTTGACAAAATTAACAGAAAGTTTGATTCAGCTAATAAATTAGATTTGTTTCAACTCTTGGTTTGTTGAGCTCCCTAGGTGAGCTCATGGTACTAGTGTATACCTGATAATTCAGGAAGGTCCTATACTAAACTATGTTCTGGCATTGGAAACTTTACAAAGCGTTTTTCCTAGTCAGTTCTTTTCCATTATGTTATTGGCAAGTAAAATCACAATGTGAGAAATTCTGGATGCGGGATATCTTTAGTCATAGTTACAGTCTCATGAAATTCTTTCAGGACGCTAGGTGTTTCAGATGGTCTGAAGGGCTGAATCGTCTGCTCTTACTCTTTTATATCTTGGATTTCGGAATTACCCATTTCATGTCTTATGCTTTGCTCGATGTTATGGTGTTTCCATGTTGTCCATTGTTGATTTTCTTTGTTATCTGTTATCTTTGTACATTTTGGTAGGGGTTTTTTTTCTGTTGCTCCTCAGATCATCTGACCTCAAGGTGGTAAATAGCCTACCAAAGCTGTTGGTGGTGCTTCTTCTTGGCAAGCATCATTTTGAAGGATTTATGAAACAATATGTGAAGCTTCCTGTCAGAAAACTGAACAGTCGTCCCGAGATACAGCATCCATGCCCTTCATATCAGCATTGAAATTTGACATTGACATGTATATGCATTAGCCACACATTAGGAGAATATAGGCATGCTAACTCAAGCAGTTTAACAAGTTCTGGAGAATATATAGACATACTTCTTATTTCTAATATGTAAGTTCTTGTACACTTATTTTATATTGGTTGGAGTTACTGCTCATGCCAAGTTTTTATACTTTTTGCAGGTTATTGAAGATTTACTAGATGTTCTGATATAGTGTCATTAGAGGAGTACTTTTCCTCAGAAACTTATAACACAATTGGGATAGTGGAAGGAAGGATATGGAAATTTGAAAGGAGAATAACAGAAAAATCAGGTTGGACAATCCCTTGCTTTCGTGTCCTTTGATTGTTAGATATTCAATTTTCCTTTTTATTGTTCATTAAACCAAGTTCATTTTACCTAACTTGGAAATAATGCTTTGCTGGGGCTTATATCTTTTGTGGATCCAATGATTTCATAAATTGGACAGATACTAACTGAGATGGTTGAATCTTTGCTGCATGTTATTGTTTCTCTACCCTATTTATTCATAGTTGAGAAACGTAGTGAAAACACTTGCATTTTAGTTATGTGGCCTTCATATGTGATGCTTGTTTCATGTTATATAATATTTTTCTGACATATCAAGTTATTTACGTTTGGTTGATTCTCATAATCTTCTGCATCTAGGATATCTATGATCTTCTCAATCGGTGCTGAACTGTTGATCCTTTATGAGGCCACACAACATGCCTAAAGTGGTAGAAAAAAAAATTATTGGAAAAGAAAAATTCAGACAAGCTTTTGTTACTTCTAAAATGCAGAAAAAATACAGAAAAAGAGCTGATTCGGCTGGAACTATCATAATAAAAGTAATTTCATTAGTGTTTGGGGCCTGTGAGCTCTTTCATCCCAGGCACTGAGTCGCATCAAAGATAGGAGCAACTTTCTGTTCTCATTTCTCTCTGTTTATGATTGGCATTTTCATTCATGACATAAGTTATGACTTATATGCGATGATCTGCTAAAGTTTGAACACGGCAGCAATTATATGTTCACTAATTCAGCCCGTAATTTTTGAAGGGTTTCTGTTATTTTATCATAAGCGAAATCTTCAATTATGCATAGAAAACATAATTTGCATCAGCAATACTTTTTTCCTATTAGCACTGCATGACTAAGGGAATGCCACTGATGATGTAGCCCATTGAGTTTAACTGTATATAGGGGCTACGAATAAGTTGGCTTTATTTCCTTTTAGTTCTGTCTCTTATTTTATTCCTTTGACCATGATGAGTTCATGGAAAGATTTTTTGTCACTTCCTGTTTATATCTATGAAAAAGAATCAAATTCTTTATCACGTGAGATCAGATTATAATTTTTTTCCTTGAGCTTACTCTGATACTAATTCTTTTACACACCTTGTCACAGATAAAATGTAAAGAATTTTTCTTTCTAGAATTACCAGAGAGAGTAAACCTAGAAGCTTCGTTATATTTCTCATCAGAACCTATAGATCTAAGCATAATCTCTTAAAACTAAATCCAACACAAAATGGCTTAATCATAGGTCAATAAAAACCAAGTGATAAGGCCCAAGTTTGTTGTACCCCCGTAGAGCCCAATCTGACCAATACATAGAACTTAAAATACATAAATGGCCCATGCAGGTTTCGAACCTGCGACCTTCGCGTTATTAGCACGACGCTCTAACCAACTGAGCTAATAGGCCTTATTGAAATAATAAAATTCTAATTTTTAGGATTTCTATCTTGCATATAGAATTCTTTTTATATTTGGATTTTTTATCCACCAAAGATCGTCTCTAAGAATTCAAAAATACTTCAAACTTCAACAGTAGTGTAGAACTGAAATGCTTGTCTATCTTATTTGTAGAATTCTGGAATTACCCTTACTAGTATTGACATAATTTTGAGCATGGATCGAGTGATGAGATGATCTTTTTAAACAAATATCAAACAGCTTGTAAACAATCTATGGATCAGAAAGGAAGGCATAATAGTTCTGGATGAAAAGAAATCATGTGATGTCTAATCCTGGAACTCTAAATGGAACACATTTGCCTTATATGGAGACTTGCTTGATCACTGAGAATGCATCACCTAGTCTTGGATGCCATATATGTGTGTTTTCAATAGCTCCACTGGTGGCCAAGAAACAAACGCACACGTATAGCATGGAAGACTTGGTGATCAAGAGATGCCTTCATTCTCAAGGACCTGTGTTCTTGAGACATTGTTGGTATCATAAAATATTTTTTGTGTGAAAACTTGACTAGAATTTTAGAATTAAAAAAATACTTAGCGTATGGCTGAAAATTTTTGTATTTCTGTTATATGAATAAAGGTCCATTTACAGACTTTCTCATGGCAAATAGTTTATAATTTTAAAAGAAATCTTATGCATGAAGTTAGCTTTTACTCTTGATTCTGATATTGTTTATGGGTGATTGAGTTGTTTGTCATGCCATTGGGGTGCCTCCCAAATGCTGTGGTAGACACAGGGACCCTTTCCTTGTCAGAATGTATCATATGTATTTATGGATCATATGGTTATTCCTCTTAATTCTGATATTGTTTAGAGGTGATAGTGTTGTTTGTCATGCGTTTGAGGTGCCTCCCAAATTCTGTGGTAGACACAAGGAGGACCCTTTCCTTGTCATAGTGTTGTATCATATGTATTTATGAATCATTTAGTTTTTCTATTTGGGGAGGCTAAATCAGGAAATTAGGCTATAGTAGTGTCCCTAAACTGGTTTAGGATTAATCCATTTATATAATCCTACCTATTTTTATTTTGTAAATATGTACATTCCCGAAAAATATTACTAGATTTATTGCAGCTACATGCTACAGTCATTTGCTCTAATCACAGTATATTTGTTTCTGTACATTTGTTTATTTGACTTGTGTATTGAAATTTTGTTGTCCGTGCATTGCACAGTCATTTAGGTGAAAGCAGTGTGCTTCATCTTTTAAAAATTCCATGGGAAATTAATTGAACAATTATTTCGAACATTATTTCTTGAGAATATCTATAGCTAGCTCTGCCACATTATCTATGATTATAATTGGTTTTCTGTTCCGTAAAACCTGCCACATTATCGTGTGAGGGCCATCTGATGAGCATCAGATTCTGCGTGGAGACAGATCGTCCTTGATGTAATAAAAGAAATCTGGAGATTGTTGGTGTCGTTGACGAGAATGGCATCCTTTGTTGCGAGCTGGGCGGAAACCACATCTTTGCTACGTTGCTCTGTTGCGAGCTGGGCGATGATCCGGAGATAGTCGGTGTCTGTCATTGATGAGAAATAGGGAAGCAACGTTTTGCTACAGTACACATACTGCAAGCTGGGCGATGATCTGGAGATCGTCGGTGTCTGTTGTCATTGATGAGAAATAGGGAAGCAACGTTGCTACAGTACCCTACTGCAAGCTGGGCGATGATCTGGAGATCGTCGGTGTCTGTCATTGAT